GGTGGCGAGACAAGTTATGGGAGGGGAAAAGAGGTAGCCTGGCTAGCAAAGGTAGTCTTGTTATACAGATAAAATTCTCACAGGTAGCAGCTCTCAGAGATTACAGTGTTTCTCTCAGACCTTTAAAGGTGTCAGACTTTCAGTTAATCTTTCTTTGATCCAGACAAAGGTGGGCCTCAGAGAAAGTCTTGCTGTATTAATGCAGATTTTCTTTACAGATGAAAATCTCCACACTAAAGACAACTTTGCAGGGCTTCCTTTTGTTTGCAGATCCTCTGAACAGCATCTCAAAATATGTCAAAGAAGTGTATTCTGGAGCGAAATAGTTTGGTTTCCTTTACTATATTTCATGACTATCAGTACTGGTTACCATTTATCTCAAAATACTTATAAAAATCATCAGGAAATCTGCAAGTTCAAGACAGATGCTTGGGGGCAATCTGTGTGTGTGATTATACTTTTTAAAAGTTAACATACTTGATGTTTAAAAATCTTCGTTATCTTTTGCCAACCATTAAAGGAAGGAAAAAAATTCAGAAGATCAAGACTTACACTTATTCTTAATGGGACACAAAAAGAATTTCAGTGAGAATTACTTTTCAGCCATTTGCATCTCATTTTTCATGTAATTATTTAAGAAATAATGTCAGATTGGTCTCATTTTAGAATAATCTCTAACCTTTATGAGAAGCCATGTGGAGGGTAAGAACACAGATTCTGGAGCCAGACCTTCCTGACTCCAAATCTGGTCTTTTCCACTTGTTTACAATCTTATCCCACTTTATCATCTATTGGGGGGGGTCAACAAGCCTTTTATGTAAATGGTCCAAGATAGTAAATATTTCAGGCTTTAGGGGCCATATATAGTCTGTTGCTCCCCTTCTTCCTTTTTTTTTTTTTTTAAGCAACTCTTTAAAAATGTAAAATTATTATTGGCTCAAGGCAGTACAAAAATAGCTTAGATATAATAACATTTTCCTCATAAAATTTTATTTTCAAAATATTCATTAGTCCTGAATGAATTCTAGTATGACTCAGTAACTTGAAATTTGGGCAAATATTTGTTTTCCTTGGTTTATCCTAAATCACCAGCAAAGAAGTTTAACACAGTATGTTGATGAAGCTTCTAAATGCGATATTAAGATGGAGTGTTTGGAAGAAATAGTAATAGTTCTGAGGCAGGCACTTGCAAACCCAAGCAGGAGCATCCATCCTGAGAAGACTCACTGTGAAAATGTGATAACTAAGTAACCTGACGCATTCAATTAAACACAATAACCATTTCTCAGTCATTATAGTATATCTCTAGTCACAGAAGAAAGAGATTGGCAGTAGTGGGAAACTGCCAGGGGAGGGAGGTATGGCCTCACATCATCAATAAGAGTACCTGATCTCAAACCAGGTGAAGTGGGGAAAAATTGAGGCTCAAACTTTATCTGTATAATGACCATTTGTATACCTAACCCTGAATTGTTTCCCATATCTTTAACATAAAATTTTTAAAAAAAGAAGTATACAAACCTATTCATTTGGATAAACTTTTAATATCATTTATTTTTTAAACAAAGAAATAAGGAAATAATCAGAAAGTAGAAAATATGTACAAAGTCAGTTAAAATGCAATAGTATTTTAACGCACCAGAGTTATAAGCAACATAAATCTGCCTTAAGTATTGCAATAGGCTGAATGGATGTTTGTGTTCTTCTAAAATTCCTGTGTTGAAATGCTAAGCCCTTAGGTGATGATATCAGGAGCTGAGGCCTTTGGGAGGTGATGAGGTCATGAGGGAGGAGCCAAGTTTAGATATAATGGGATTAGCGTCTTTATCAAAGGAACTCCCTCTTTCCACCACGTGAGGACGTAACAAGACGGCAGTCTGCACCCAGAAGAGGGCCCTCACCAGACCCAACCTGGCTGGAACTCTGTCTTCAGACTTCCAGCCTACAGGACTGTGAGATAGATAAATAATTAATTAAAAGGCCACCCAGTCTATGGTACTCGGTTATAGCAGCCTGAACTAAGACAAGTATTCTCTAGAACAATGGCATATATTCATGAAAATCACAATCTGGTATAAAAAACTCCAAAGGAAAAATCATCTCAAACAATCAGGAGACAATTCAAAGTTTTTAGCAGACAGCCTAAAAATGAAAAGCACAGATACAAAACTCAGCCCTTTTATGATTTATAAAGCACAGGCTGAACAGGGTCATATACAAATATTTAAATGCAAACATACAATGAGACAAAATTTGAAAGTTTTAAAAGGTGCTATAGTCAAACATATTAATAAATAGAACTTTATAACAACATCTACACATGAAAAAACTTGCTTCAGTGTTAATGAAATACATTTTAATTGTATAATATGCTAACAACAAGTGCGATAATCTTAGTTTACACATACTTACATGACGTGGTGACTACATTGTTGCCCAACTTGCTTCTACATTAACTGTAAACGAAAATGTAGAGTAGGAATAGAGTACAAACCAGATCTTGGGGATAATGGAAACCTCTCTTCCTTCTAAACATTTGCACAGGTATGAGTTACTATAGTTTGTGGAAAACAATTAACTTAGTATCAAAATAGTTTTATGACTTGTTGTTACCAAAGTCATTTATATTGCAGGTAAAATTTGAATAGTGTTAAATGCATTAAAACAAACACACACTAACAGTAGTCCTTGGTCTCTGAGTTTCCCACTACCATCCCTGTCCTGGTTCCTCTCCCCAGTGAGAGCCTTCTCAATCACTCTGCTTTTCTGGCAGATACACCTGGATTTCTTATGTTTGCCATTCTCTTGTTTCTTGAATTAGCATTCTTAAACAGACTGCTGGGTGCTGAGCTCCAGTAATGCATTAACTAGCTGTGTGACCTTTGGCAAATTACATAGCCTTAGTCTTTTTTAAATTTTTGTTTCATTTTTTTTTATAGACAGGGTTTCACTTTGTTATCCAGGCTGGAGTGCAGTGCAGTGGCATGATCATAGCTCACTGCAGCCTCCAACTTCTGGGCTCAAGCTATCCTCCTGCCTCAGCTTCCTGAGTAGCTGGGACTACAGGCACATGCCACTACACCGAGCTAATTAAAGAAATTTTTGGGGGGTAGACATGGACTTACTATGTTGCCCAGGCTGGTCTCAAACTTCGGGTCCCTAGAAATCCTCTTGCCTTGGTCTCCCCAAATGCTGGGATTATGGGAATGAGCCACCACATCTGGCCCATATTCTTTTAAGGCTTCAGTTTACTAATCTGGAAAACAGAAATAACAGAACCTACCCACTAAGGTTATGATGAGAAATAAGTGATATAAAATTCTGTATGTGTAAAAACACCTGCTTATAATGTAAACGTGATAGCTATTATTACTGTTATATTACCTCACAGCAGGTGAGGATTTAAAAAAAAAATCATATTCATTGTTTTCATCATCATGTCCTTTCTATATTTCAGGCAATTTTAGATTAATGACATTTTCTTTTTTTTTTTTTTTTGAGTTGGAGTCTCACTCTGTCACCCAGATTGGAGTGCAGTGGCCGCTCCCGGCCACCGCAGCCTCGACCTGCTGGGCTCAGGCGATCCTTCCGCTTCAGTCTTCCAAGTAGCTGGAATTACAGGCGCGTGCTACTATGCCCGGCTAATTTTTGATTTATTGTAGAGATGAGGTCTCACCAAGTTGCCCAGGTGGGTCTCAAACCTGTGGGCTCAGGCAATTCACTCACCTCAGCCTCCCAAAGTACTGGGATTACAGGCTGAGCCACCGAGCCCGGCTGATATTTTCATTTTGTATCCTCATCAAAACAGTTTACAAGAGGCTGGCAAACTAGCTAAGGATGCTGAGCCACTGGAATAATCTAAATATTTTCAATTTTCCAAATGTTGAATCACTGGTATTTCTGGATGAGAAACTGGATAAAACTTTTACTGTAGTTTTTAAATGATTTCGCTAAAATCTCTGTAAAACATATACTACTACCGCAGTTATTATAACACACTTTCTTCCTTATCTTGTTTGCCTTCTGTTTTGATCATTTTCACAGCTAAGGACCTCTAAGATGCTATGCATTGTATATTCAGTTTAAAGAAAATATGCAACATCTTTCAGCATTGACATCATTGTTCTATAAAATGTTTCTCAGTTGTTAATTTTAAATGAAGGCTTCTATTTAGAATTCATAATTATGAATGATCTCTGATTTGTGAGAAGTAATGCAATTTGTGTGCCTGAGATATTTCTAAAATTCTAAAGAGCATTTATGTAGCAGTTTAAGTCCAGGAAAAACAGTTTGGTGACTTACAATTTATTTGAACTAATTACTACAGTCAGTGGGAGGCATTTAAAATAAAAAAATAAGAAGTCAGTTATAATAATTACTGGAGTCAAACATTAATTCACTTTATACCTCTTAATCTGAAGATGTGATATTTTCATTCAGTCAATGAAATAAAATGAGATTCTATGTATGAAAAAGTTCTCAAATTCTCTCATTAAATTTCAAGTTCTCTGAAGATAAGGAATATATCTTATTTAAGCTAGGACCATGCCTGACTGGTAGATGTAGGGATGTTTAACACCCTGAATAAATAAATTCAGCTTAACTTGGTTTCACATCATTTACAAATGCTTGACAGTAAAACACCATATTAACAATTTCAGTGTAAACAATGTATACTAGTTGGTACATTATATTTTGCTTTATTGATGGTGATACATAGTACAATTTTAATATATATTAATAACCCATGATCCCTTATACATATTTAAAGTTCTTTTTTTTTTTTTTTTTGAGTTGGAATCTCATTCTGTTGTCCAGGCTGGAGTCTACTGGCGTGCTCACGGCCACCGCAGCCTCAACCTGCTAGGTTTAGGCAATCCTTCTGCCTCAGCCTTCCAAGTAGCTGGCACTACAGGCGTGTGCAACCACGCCTGGCTTATTTTTTCCTTTATTGTACAGATGAGGTCTCACCAAGTTGCCCAGGCTGGTCTCGAACCCCTGAGCTCAGGCAATCCTCTTGCCTCAGCTTCCCAAAGTGCTGGGATTACAGGCTTGAGCCACCGTGCCTAGCCTTAAAGTTCTTTTTCACAAGTACTGCAAAGTCATACCATAAACTAAATTTTTAAAAAGGCGATTTAAAAAATAAAACACATTAAATGTATTAAAATAATTACACGATGGGATACTGAGATGGCTTATAACTCTGACTGTTAAACATTCTAACTACAATCAAATGTATACCTTTATTAAGAATTTGATAGCCTTAGGGATCCATTTTGAGGGAAGATTTTGTTTTCAAATAATTACTGGCCAGATCAGCATACCTGAAGTTCTGTGTTTTAAAAAGCTCATTCAGAGTCCACAAATGCAAGCAGATTAAACAGCATTTTATAAAGCATTCTTAGATGAACAAATATCTTTTTAAAAATTTAAAATATTGTTTGCCTTGGATCTATTCCTTGAATTTAAAATTGCTGAGGTTTCCAAATATTATCTTTTCATGTCTTCACAGCCTGGATCTGATCTATAACAAAACACAAACAAGCAAAAAGTATCAGTCTCTATAGCACAAAATCTATTTTCTAAAGTAATCTAAGACAAATCTACACAGTATGGTAGAAGCTTATGCATACACCTGCATGTTTTAAAAAATATTTTTTAATAGAGGTGGGGTCTCGCTATGCTGCCTAGGCTGGACTCGAACTACTGGGCCCAAGCAGTGCTCCTGTCTTAGCATACTGAGCAGTTGGGACTATAGTAATGTAACACCATGCCCAGCTACAACAGCTTTTTAAGAAGTCCAATGTATACTATAGTTTTTGTTTTTATCAAAGTTGTACATACACAGAGTTAAAAAGTCAACTAGTTCCATGAGGTTTCTATGAAAAACAGCCGTACCTTGCTTCATCTCCCCTCTTCCCTTTCAGAGGCAACCACTTTCAATTCCCAGTTAAGTGGATTCTCATAAGTCTTTAAGTAATACACTTTTATTATTATTGCTTGAAACATCAGTTCCTTCGATGTATTGAGGCTTCAGCTCTCTCATACTCCTGTGGTGCTTCTATGCAACCCTCATAATACCTGTAATACCTGCATTCTCCTAACACAGGAAAGTAGGCATTACCAATGCAATACTCTGCACATGCTGTTCACAGCTGACACCAGTGGTATACTGTTTACTGTTCCTTTCCTCTTCTATATTTCCCCCCACCCCAGAGTTAATAGTTGTCTCTCCCAGTCCCATCCAATGTGTCTGTTGTTTTATGTATTTAGCACCAATTCAGCCGCACTACTCCCAGTTTTAACCTTTACTATTAGGGAGCACACTGTATAGTCCATCAATTTCATCTTCTTGAAGAACTCTTCCTTAACGTCTTACGAAACTCTCCAATCTAGAATGGTTATTCTCTGATGACATATCCTTTCACTATATTCTAGAAGCTCCATTAATCCCCTGGGGACTCCTTCCCCCACCTCTGGTTTTCCATTTCTGGTTTCTGGTGGTGCGGATTTTCCTGTTTCATGAGCCCTTATTTTTCTCTTCTTGGTTTATTTTCTTGTTTTTGAGGTGTACTCTTCTCAGTGGTTACCTTAGTTAATGAGAGGTATAGAAAGCACATTTTTTATTTTTATTTTAAAGATGTGGCTCTTTATTTTACTGTCACAATACATTGATATTACTTGAGAATTCAATTTCATTACTTTCTCCTTGGACTTTTCTAGGCATTGCCCAGCTAGCTATCTTACAGCTTCCAAGTTTTGCTATTGAGAAATCTGATGTTGTTTCCTCTCCTTTACAAGAAACCTCCTACTTTTTTCTCAGGAAGCTTGCAGAATCTCATACTGTTTCCACTACTGAATTTCAATAATGGTGTATATTGGTGTGGCAAGATTTTTATCCATTGCTCTGAGCTCTTGAGAGGCCTTTCAACTAACAGTTCATCATTCAGTTCTTGAAAATACTGTCAGAAGACTTGCTACCCTCTATTTTTATCTGTTCTCCCTTCCTGAATTTCCTCTTGAACATGAACCCTTACTCTTTTCTTTCCAGTTTTCTATTGTCTTTTTCTCTACTTTCTGGGAAGCTGTCTTTATCTTTTTTATTGAGTTTTTAATTTCTACTTTTCTAATTTTCCAAGAAATTTTTTCTGTTGTTGTTCTTTGTTTCCTTTCAAGTAGTATCCTGGTCTTATTCATGAAAGTAAGACCACTCATCTCTTTGAGGATCCTCTCTTAATAGTTTTTTTGGAATGTTCTCCTTCCTCCTAATACACATGTTTGTTTACATTTCCACACTTCAAAATGTTTCATCCTCAAATCCTGATAGTCCTTTGTCATCTGCTCATATGTGAGTTAAAAAAGAAAGCTGATTGGAATTTGGAAATGTATGTGAGATTTGTCAAATGTAGTCTTCATACTTGTGTCTGGATAAGCCATTTCCTTGGGTTTTTCCAGTGTTAATATTGTCAAGTCTTTTCTCTGAGGCTAGACCGATTTCTCAACAATGACACTTCCTATCTCCTGCCTGCCGACTGCCAGTTTTTCCTGGGAGAAGTAGAAAGCAGAAGAGGGCAAAAATATTTGGTAATAAAGACTTTGCTACTCTTTATTTTTCAGTTCAGCACCATCATACATAGTTGTGTACCTGGTATTTTCCAGTCCAGAGACATTCTTTCTGACTCTGCAGAGAATAAACCTTCAATTTTATTTCAGTGGAGAGATGTAAAACCATGTCTTCTCTTTTCAGTCCCATCTTTATCCTTATTTTCAATTTCCACCAATTTCTGAGCCTTTGCAGGGATCTGCAATGTAAATTAGGCTGCCTTCCAGCTTTCCCTAGTGCTAGCTTAGAATTCAGCTTTCTCAGATCTGTTAAGTCATTCAACATTCATCAGATATCCAGCTTCCAAAATTGGTTGGCATTTTCCCCACCTGCCTTCTTTTTGCCCGTGTAGGTTAATATCATTTTTTAAAAAGTCCCTTTATTGTTTGTGGGAGTTGCAGAGGGGATTAAACTAAATGTACATGTTTAATTCTCTATTGTTCGTTTGAATTATCATATGCATAGTTTATAAAAGTATAATATTAACATCTAGAACCAGTATTAACTTATTCTCTGGAGATAAAGTGATAATATGAACACATTTAATTAGTTATTTGGAATATTTATTTTTAAAAATATCCCATTTGAAAGTTTTAGAGCTAGAAAACTTATAGCCCTGAAATAGTTTCTGTATATTCCCTCGTGGTTTTAAAAAATACATCACAGTGTGCTCAAGAATTCTTGTCTTGGGTTGTTCAATATATGTAATTATTGAAACTCTTTCCAAAAGAGAATAGAATCATGCCATTAAATATGTAATCTAATATTTCACCTAAAAGTTTCCTACCTTAAAGTTAAAATAACAAAATTAAATTGGTCCTAAATGAAACAAAGAGCCTCCTGTTTATCACACTGGGAAATTTCAGAATTCTAGATAAAAAATGTAGAAATAAAAGTTCCAAACATCTTTCACAGTTAGATTCACAGAAATGCCTTTGGTTAACATAAACTAGTCTCCACAAAAAATTAAAAATCAGCCGGGTGTGGTGGTATATAGCTGTAGTCCTAGCTACTTGGGAAGCTGAAATAGGAGAATTGCTTGAGCCCAGGAGTCTGAGGTTACAATGAGCTATGATCCTGTCACCGCATGCTAGTGAATGACAGAGTGAGAACTCCTCTCTTTAAAAAAAAAAAGAATCTGGTGGACCCAAAAGCCAAAAGCTTTTTTTTTTCCTATCAGTTTATTCTTCCTATATCAAGTAGGGATACTATTACTTACCTTACTAGGGATTGTAAAGGGCATATAAAATAATATGGCAGCACAAGGGGATAAAAGTTATTTTCAACAATGTGTCTTCCTTACAAAGATTTTGGAAATAAGACAGATAACAGATCTGAAAAGTCCAAGAAACAAAAACTAAGTAGCAAGACCAGAGCTGGCAACTGGGTACTATGATGCTGGATTGTTACTGACACCTAGTGGCCTGATTGCTACAGAGAAAATAAAACTACGGGGAAAAAAGGGACATGAGAGCTACAATTTATGTTCAGGACCCGCCTGGGCAATTTGGTGAGACCTCATCTCTACAATAAATAAAAAAATTAGCGAGATATGGTAGCACACGCCTATAGTTCTGGCTACTTGGAAGGCTGAGGCGGAAGGATCGCCGGAGCCCCAGCAGGTCGAGGCTGCAGTGGCTGGGAGCAGCCACTGCACTCCTGTCTGGGCGACAGAGTGAGACTCCAACTAAAAAAAATAAAAATAAAAATAAAAATAAAAATAAAAATAAAAACCAGAAGGTTGTCAACCGATTTCCAGTAAGTACTGAGTTTTGAATTACTTTATCATTAGTGATACCAGGGTCTCCATCCATGCTGTATCTTCATTGCGAAAAACAGTAAAACACTTTGTAAAATAAGAAATCAGGGCTGAGTGTATATATGCTTCTGGCATCTTCTCTGGAATGTTCCTCTGTAATCTATCTGTTTTTGGTGAGAATACATCCCATAACCTTGACAACTTCTTTACCACAATCTGAGAAACTAGGTTGGTGGGTTCACAGAAAAATTCCACGAGTTCTGAGAACCACTACAGGTTCTTAATTAAGTCTCACTAATTGTAAAGTGTGACTAGACTGTTCTTTGCAGTTTAATGGTAAATGTCATGCTGACCACATAAATACAAAAAAAGATAGAAATAAAATAGTCTGGACGGTCAACTAAAACACTTTTATTTTACCAATGACATGAAAATATTTATGCAATGTATGTTTAGTACTTTGAACCAAAGAAATACTATGCCTTTTATGTATGGACAGGCTGGCTACCCTTAGATCCACCATGATATGTGCTATATACATGTGGAAGAGGGGGGAAATAATCACACATAATTTGTGTTAAAAGGTTAGAGCAGAAGAATTTATAACAGCAAAACTACAGCTAGAATGTATAACATCCTGTTTTTCACCCTTGTTCGGGGCAGGGAGATTCCCAGTAAGAATAGTCTTCAGTTGTTATGCTCACAATTGAGAATATTTGACTAGATCATCAGGATTCTGCACTAAGAACTTACAGAACTTGGTTTCATTCACATCTCTTTATTGCTTTGTGTGTTTCAAGCCATTCCTGTGGCTTGCAGACAATGTAACCTCAGGGTAGATAATATATCTCAATTTATTCCCTTATATAGTAAGACTACACCAACCTATGATAACTATTTGATGAATAACAACCAGAACTGCAAATATACAAAACATCAATATAGCACCAGTGTTTATAATACTAATGAGTGTTAAAAGTTGTGTATACATACTATGTATAAAAGGAGCTAAAAGGTACATGCCATTCAGACTTATTTTTAGTTACTTACAGCAAGGCCTAACATTTGTCCCAAAATTTAAATGCGCTTCTCTTACTAGATCAGACAGAAATTTATTGCCATAAATTAAAATTATTTTCTAGATTTTTCATACATATTGACTCTAAAATTCAAACAAATTTATTGTATACAAATAAATCCTTTAGAAAAATGTAACAGAAGTAAATGGAACAAGGTATTAGATACTCACTGTATTGTTTTTTCTGACAGCAGATGTAAATGGAAACAAGAGGAAAAAGGGCAATGATATAATGAAAATAAAATGTAACAAGAGAGATTAAAAAAAGAATGAAAAGGAAACAAAGGCTGATGTTACACAGTATTTTGTGATATACCTTGAAGCCAGTCTACACCTTCTTGCAATCCTTCTCCTTTTATGGCATCACTAGCGCTGAAATAAAATCCATAAAAACATATCCATTTCATTACATCATAAAACCGTAAGACTAAAGGATTGCAGTTGTGCTCTATGTCAAATTAATGTATCTTAGTAACACATATCTAAGCAAAACTGATTAAACACTGAAACTGAACATAAGTAGAAAATAAAAGTCTGAGTGCTCAGGAACAAAATATGAGAAGATTACTCATAATTTGTATAAACATTTAAAAAAGCGTATTACTAAAAAGTTATCTTAGGAACAGCTCTTAGACATTACCAAAATGTGCACTTTGAGTTATTCTTCCAGTGGTAGAAAAGTTTTGTGGAGTCTACCGTCTTACTTTGCTCAGCCTCAATGGTTCAATAGCATTTATTTATTAAAAATGCTTGACCTAGGTTATGGTATAGTCATTGAATGCAGTGAATTTATTTAAAATTGAATTTGATATCTACCTAGCAGAAACCTATAATTACAGCTTTGGTAAGCTGGTAGAATACAACAACAGCCCATTAGATTTCAATCACTGTTTTACATTTATTATCTGTAGGAATCTGGAGGTCATTTAACTCTTCTGTCTTCAGTTTCAGCGACTATAAAATGTGGGAATATTACCATTGGCTTCATATGGTTATTGTGAGAATTAAATATTTGAGGTAGGCATATAAGACATTGAAACAAGGTTTTTCCATAATTATTTGTCTGTTTATTTTTTAAAGAGACAGAGTCTTGCTCTGTCACCCAGGCTAGAATGCAGTAGTGTGACCATAGCTCACTGTAATCTTGAATTCCCGTGCTGAAGCAATTCTCCTTCCTTAGCTTCCTGAATAGCTAGGACCACAGGCTTATGCTGCTACGCCCAGCAAATTTTTTATTTTTGTAGAGATAGAGTCTCACTATGTTGCCCAGGCTTGTCTTGAACTCCGGGCCTCAAGTGATCCTCTTGTCTCAGTCTCCTGTCTCAGCCTCCCAAAGTGAGCCACCATGCTTGGCCCAGTCGTTTCAGTATTAAGAGAGTAAACTTTAATCTCTATTGTGACATTTTATATATAATCATAATTAAGTACACAAGCTAAAAAAAATAAAATGCAGAGAATTTTTGGAGTATCCAATAATCTTTTTCAAAGACAGAGACTGACAGTTTCTCAAGTTATTGATCTAGTCATTTTTTTCAAAATATAATGATTGTATAGTGGCACTTAGTATATATACAATCAGATTTTCTGAATGATTAGGGTTCTTGTTAGTGTACTGAAGCACACATTTAAAATATATAGTAAAGTACCAAAAACAATAACCTGATTCTAATCAGAATAGAATTACTTCTAAGAAATTACTCATTAGACTAAGAATATGGCTTATCTTAGAATTATTGTAAAAGAGGAAGACAGAAACAAACAGCATGAGATACATGATTATTCAAAGTAAATTACTGGTTAGTAATAGCAGTAGCAAACCATCAATAACTGAAATACTTAAGTCAATAAAGATCAAGATATTGATGCTATAACAAATCTATAGCTCCAAACAAGTAATCCAATGAAGAAATCTTTTCCCTCTAATGTAGGTGTCACTACCCTACTAAAAATTTGCATCTAGGGCAACCCCTTGAGGTTTCCCCCCCACTGACGGAGCTTCTCTGTCATCTCAAAAAATCCTTCCCCCCCCCAAAAAAACTCCAAAACTTTGCATCTTTTCCTTGCATGTCCCAAATGTTTGAAATCTACCTTTCCTCTCAAATAAAACATATGAGTAAAAGCTGACGTCTTCACCTTGTCCTCCAAGGCCCTGTGTGATATGAACCCTAGTTATTTCTCATGGCCTCATCCCCTACAATCTTCCCCAGATCACTCTGCTCCAGTTGACCTGGACTTCCTGCTGTTTCTGGAACACACCAGGTACATTCTCATCCAAGAAGAGGCTTCTTCTTGCTGGCCTCTCTATCTGGATGACTATTCCTCCAAACCTTCACAAGAATTGCTCCCTGACTTCATTAGGAAAGGAAGCAACTCTTATTATTCTCTTATTATCATACTTTATTTTCTTCAGCCTCTCAGTTGATTTTTTATTTTTTATTTTATTTTATTTTTTTGAGTTGGAGTCTCACTCTGTCACCTAGACTGGAGTGCCACTAGTGGCCTCTCTCGGCCACTGCAGCCTCGACGGGCTGGGCTCCGGCGATCCTTCTGCCTCAACCTTCCAAGTAGCCGGAATTACAGGCATGCGCTACCATGCCCAGCTGATTTTATTTATTGTAGAGATGAGGTCTTGCCAAGTTGCCTGGGTGGATCTCGAACCCACGGGCTCAGGCAATCCACTCACCTCAGCCTCCCAAAGCACGGGATTACAGGCTGAGCCACTGAGCCCAGCGTCAGTTGATGTTTTATACATTTATTTATCTACTATCTGTCTCCCTGACAAGATAGCAAATGAGTGAATACATATATATCAGGCCAGGGATTGAGTCAAAGAACATACCTGAAAAAGAATAACACAATCAGACCCTGAACACTGGAGTTGACTATATGTGTAGTACAGTGGTCAAACACAAAATTTTTATTTAATTTCTCAAACTATACTTCTCTATGACATTTTCTTTATTATCTAGTAACTTTACTTGCACCTAAGCCAAGAGACAGGCAACATTTTGCCTCTGTATCACTGATCATTGCCTTTATATAAACAATTAGAAAAGGATAAATATATTATTAATTTTATACATGCTTTAAAAACATATTGCCAAAATTAAGAACAAACCTAACAAATGAAACACTCATTTAAACTTAACAAGATACCCAATTTGAATTAAAGACAAATCAAAATTATAGACAAGTCAAAAAGAAATACTTGGCATTCCTCTATAAATTGTACAGAAAATACTATAGAAACTGGCAATATAATATTCCAAATCCTTATAAGCATCAGAATATTACTCCTTCTTACAGAGAAATATTTACCAAATATGCCACGGTTTATCTTTGATGTTCTCTAAACACAGCAACTGAGACACCTTTACAGATGTTACTGCATCTCTAAGGTCCATTTTGTTTGCAAAGAATAAGATTGGAATTCTACGGTGCTTAATATCTAAAAGAAAAAATAAGACTATGATCATACTTCGTTTTTTAGATCACTTTGTTCCAAATCCTCAACATTGAAATTCATGAAACTGTTTTCCAATCACTTCCTTCTATATCATACCCACACAGAAACATTTAAAGACACATACTGTCATACTATTGGCATGTGTTTGAGCAATGAGAAAATTTTAAAAATACTTCTTCCTAAGACCATCTGGCCTTTGGTAGGAGCTTTAAACAAAAGATGGGAAAGGCGGGATTTGGAGGCTCAATAAGCATTATACAGAAAAATTTACACAAGAGTCAAATATTTTGTTTCCTTTTCAATGTGAACTTCAAGTAGAAGTAGAAAGAAGAGAAACTGGATCCTGATTTTAGTTTTTAGTCACAGAAAGCTAGATATTATAACAAGATATTTTTACCTTATGATTTTGGAAATAGTTTTCATTGTTTTGAATAGATAACATATTTAAATAGCTCATACTTCAGAAGACACAAAATGGTATACAGAAAAAGAATCCTCTTAACTTTGTCCTAGGTCATGCAATTGCCTGCTATAGAAAAGGTACCCATAACATCAGTGTCTTGGCATCTTTGCAGAAATATTTTATATATTTGAAAACATGTTATTTTCATATTAGCATTCGCAGACCAGCCTCATCATTTTATACCTTTATTTTCTTACTTAACTACATATTTTGGAGATGGTCCCATATCAGTATACATGAAGCAATGTCCTCGTTATTTTAAGAGTACTAGAATATTCCTTTATTTAGTACTATGTTCCATAATTTATTAATAAGCACCCAACTAAGAAATATTTGTTAACAATTTTTACAACTATAAGCAATGCCATAATAAATAAATGTGTACATAGGTAGTTTTGAACTTGGGCCAGTATGCCCTTAGGATAAATTAAATTTCAGAAGTGGAATTACTGGGTCAAAGGACATGTAAGTTGCTATTTTAATAGACAGTAATGACCAAGGTGCTTTTCCCTAAAAATTCTATCAACTTATACTTCAACAATGTATAAGAATAGTTGTCTCCACTACCCTAGCCAAAAGAGTGTTACCAAACTTTTGGATATTTCCCACATGATAGGTGGTGACAGGTAAAAGGTATGATCACAATACGCATACTTGCATTTCTTTGAGAAAGGCCAAGAATATTTCCATACACTCAAGATATGTTTAAATTTATTTTTCTTATATATCCTTTGTTATATTCTTTCCCTATTTACCACTAAGCTTTTATTTTCTTATTGATTTGTAGGAACACAAGTAGTGTGGAAACAGTCCTGTAACTATGACATAAACAGCAAATATTTTCCCTTGCTTCTCATTTGCCTTTAACTGTTCATGGTGCATTTTGCTATGTAAAGACTTTTTAATGACCTTTAGTTTTTTTTTTTAAAGTTCATATACACTTCAGCTGAGAAACTCCTCCTTTGAGAATCCAGCCATAACATAAAAAAAGGTACATAAAGATTCTTGGACAAGGCTTCAATTGAGGAAATCAAGGTTCTCAATGTGTTTGAAGCAGATTCTGTGAGAACATCTCATTTTATTGGTTAACATTCTAAGACTTTTTGGGGAAAAAAGCGGAAAGGTTAGCACAAAGGGAATGCATAATCAAAAATGAATTATCCACTCTACTAAAAAAACATATATGTTTTTTGCAGCACTATCCACGAAGCATCGATGATGGAATGGATGAAGAAAATGTGCTACATATGCACCATGGGATACTACAGAGCCACAAAAAAGAACAAAATCATGTCCTTTGCAGCAACATGAATTCATCTGGAGACCATCATTCTAAGCGAACTATCACAGAAACAGAAAACTGAATACTGCATGTTCTCACTTATAAGTGGGGGTGAAACACCAAATACACATCGGCATAAAGATAAGAGCAACAGACACTGGGGACTTCTAAAGTGGGGGAGGGAGGAAAGGGTTGAAAAACCACCATGCCTACCACCTGGGTGATGAGCTCAATAGAAGCCCAAACTTCACCATCACACAATATATTTAATTTATGTAACAAACCTGCACATGTACCTCTTGAATCTAAAAAATAAACATTAAAAAATGGATTATCAATCCAGATACAAGACTGGCAAGTTTTTAAAGTGCAAAAGTCACCTAAAAGGGTCAAGCTGAATAACTTTTTTTTTTTTTTTAATCTGAACAAGGTTGAGGTTGTCTGACAAAAATACCAAAGATATTTTGGTCAAGCAGTAAGAGCTGTTAGAAAGCCCCACATTATCTCTATTCCATTTCTAACCAATCCACAGTTCTTTCAAACCATATGAATAAGGCTAGAAACTAGATTTCCACACTACTTACAGGGACATTTTTTTCAGTTAAGTTGGGGGGGTAGGAAGAACATCCATCAACAGGTAAATGACTGAACAAACTGTGGTATGCTTATAATTCACCATAGTAGGATAAATGAAAGAATAGTTATGTAATTATATGCAATTTTTTACTTGCAGTATTTCAATCATTAAGTGTTAACTGAAAATAGAAAGATGAAGAAGAACGTAAAGAATATACCATTTTGGTAAATGACAATGACTGTGCCATAGCCCTCAACCCTACAGATATTTCTGATGTCTATGTATGTATGTATGTATGTATGTATGTATGAGAGAGAGAGAGAGAGAGAAAGAGAGAGAGAGAGAAAACATAAAATATGTTATATATAAAAGTGTGAAAGAAAAATTACCCTAATACTTGTAAAAGAGGATGGGGTGATGGCAGCTGATGATTAAAACAAAAAAGATCTGTTTTAAAAGAAGTCCCAAAATAAATACGTTAAAAAATGCTGTGATTAAATACAACACACACTCAGATACACATAGATGAATCCATGAAAATATGGTAACCAAAGTAATTTTAATAGGTGTTGAAATACACAGATTTTTATTTTATTTCATAATCTTTTTCTTGCTATTGGCACATATTATTTATGTAATCAGGAGAAAAAGGGCTTTTTTCAGGAAATAAAGGCTAGGGACTCTAAAAACATTGCAAATACTTTAAAATTAAAAAGATATAGTGACCAGATTCTGTGGCTCAGCCTGTAATCTCATGCCTTTGGGAGGCTGAGGTGAGTGGATTGCATGAGCCCATGGGTTCGAGACCCGCCTGGGCAACTTGGCAAGACCTCATCTCTACAATAAATCAAAACTAGCCGGGCGTGGTAGCGAGCGCCAGTAGTTCCAGCTACTTGGAAGGCTGAGGCGGAAGGATTGCCGGAGCCCAGCAGGTTGAGGCTGCAGTGGCTGGGAGCGGCCACTGCACTCCAGTCTGGGCTACAGAATGAGACTCGAACTCAAAAAAAAATAAAAAAGCTATAGTAATGTAAAGATATTGTATAACTAATATGTTTTTACAATACAAAAATTTTAATAAAAGATAAATATAAAGCGCAAACAACACTTTTTGCCAATACCAAAGAACAAAACATTACACATAAAAGATCACCATAACACAGATATAAAAAACTGAAAGATACACACAGACCTGGGTGATTCAGAAGAGTGTCAAGTTCTTCTTTGGCCACAACCATTCTTAATCTGTCACTACTATCAATGACAAAAATAATAGCTTGACCCTCTCTGCAAAGTACAAACGAGAAAAATTAAAGCTATATTTATAAACTTTTCCATATTTATTATCCATCTGCATTTCCTAACCTATATATTATCTCTGCATGTCCTATGTACATTTATCATTAGAGGTTTGGGAGCTGTCTCTTACTAGTTTAATGACTTTATATCAAATTAGTCATATTTGATATAAAGTATCTTTTTATTTGGATATGATCAATGTAATGACATGTTGTTTCATAATTTAAAACAAATTATGAGTAACAGATTCTTTTTCCTTTAAGCAATTAGAATCTAAAATGATAAAATGAGCTTAAAAAACATGACCTTATTACACAGATACAATCATAATTAACATTTTGGCATAAAACAATTGACACTTTTCTTTGTGTATATTACATATGAATAACTACATCTGTATTTAAAATGGAATCTTGAGGTTTTATACCTTGCCTTTATGATATATATATGAAAATTTCCTTGATTTTTTTTTTTTTTTTTTACGATATGGTTAGAACTACTTTTCTACAAGGGTTTGAACTACTTTAATATGAAAACCTAACACTCTAAATCAATGTTTCTGAAATATTTTATCATAAACCATAGTGAGAAATACATTTTACATTAAGATGCAGTAGATACACAAGTATACATAGATATATTTGAAATAAGTCTTCTGAAAAAATACTTACAAATGGCTTTTGTTTTAATCTATTTGACTTTGTCTAAGTTGATAGTCAGTGACTGAATTAGTTCAAGGATTCACTACAGATCAGAACAGCATGTTAAAAGTCACTGATTCCTTTGCACTCTCTTCTTTTAATGGTTATAAAGCATTCCACTGCATGGATGTGTCATCAAATATTGTGGCAAATCTGTTGTTGAACTTTTAGATTACTTCCAATTTTCATTATTATGAAAAACTTTTGGACAAACATCCTTCTATATTTATTTTAAAATTTCTTGATGTTTTAAGATTTAGTCTTAGGAGTAAAGTTTCTAGGACTACATACATAATTCAAAGTTGTAGATAAATACTGCCCAACTGTCCTACAGAAATGCTATATCAGCTTACAGGACTATCAGTATTTTTCCCACTCCCTTGCCAGCACTGACTATTTTCATTCTTTTCAATCTTTGCCATTCTAACAGCATATTATCTTGCTTTGTAGTTCATTAATTGCTAGTGAGGTTCAATATCTTATATTTATTGGACATCTATATTTATCACTTATTCCAGTTATAAATTAAGAATTTAAAGTTCAGTGTCACTAGTAATCAAATGAATATAAAAATAAAAACAACTTTTTAAATACCATTGTATCTTACCATGTAAAAAAATGATACTATAGATTATCACAGACATATATTATTAATGGATATAGAAAAAAATCAGAAATATTTAGCAAGAGCTTTAAAAATGTGCAATCACTTTGAGTCTGTGATTTTATTTCTGGAATTTATTCTAAGGAATCATGAACTGTGACTAAGATTTATACAAGAGGTTAACTGAAAGACTGTATATAGTCTTCAAAAACTGAGAATAACCTTCATGTTCCAAAGTAAAGAAATGATTAAACAAATTTTTGCATAGCTGTATGAAAAAATATTAGGCAGTCATTAGTTATATTTATTGTATGCCTTTCCTGATTTACCCATATCGTAACTGTTAACTCAAAAAAGTAGAATACAAAATTACATGACATAATTTAGATGGCTCCTTTGTCCTTAATTAAATGTATATTATATATTTCAAAAAGAAGAAACATTAACAAAAAGATTTACACTGATGAATTAGTGAATAGTTAAGATTTATGGGAAGTAAGTTTCAGTGCACTTTTCTATTTTTCAAATTTTAAAAATGGTGCACTACTTATATTTTTTTACTTCATTGCTTTTTTATATTGTAGGAATAATATGCAAAAATTATACAATATTTTACATTACAGAATCATATAAATTAGAAAATAAATTTCCCTTATAATTTTACTATTCCAAAAATAAATGAATTGGTGCATATTTTACTAAGAAATTTCTTCTCTCTCTCTATATATAAATATACTAAGTACATATTTATATTAATGTCATATTTTTCTTTACATAATTGATATAAAAAATATTATAAACAATGCTAACCATTCTTCTATGTATAATTTTGTTCACTAGTCCCATAGATACTTTTTTGAAAGTAATAATTGCTTCCTGGAGAGTATGAATATTTTTCATTTTAACAGATACTGATAAGTTACCCTGAAAAATATATTACATTCCCTCTCACAGGAGTAGTTCATTTGACTACACTATACTTTATTAATCTTTCTAACCTTTTTCAGTCTAATAGAGTAAAATATACTTGATTTTTCATAATTAGAAAAATGTAGAGATAGAGAAAATAAATTTAATATTGTTGACTTCTCAATAGTAACCATGTCACCATTCAAACTACAATTTATCCATAATATGTCAAAATTCATATATTTCTTTCAAAAAGATTCTGAAGATTTTTGAAGTATAATCTTCTGTATATTTCTCTTCTGTGTAATTAAAATAAATGCATTTTTAAAAAGTAGGTAAAGCAAATACTTTTTTAAAAAGGAGTTATTTATCAACTAATTAGAGAAGGAATTAAAAAATCCTGTACTAAAAAGTCATATTTCCTTTTAAAAAAAATTCCACATTTCCCCAGAGAATTGAATGCATACCACCACAAACATGCCACTTTCCCAAACTAACCCTCAAATCTGAGGCACTCTCCTTTCTCTCTACCTCTGATGACCCCTGGATCTATGATTTTTTTTTTTTTTTTGAGTTGGAGTCTCACTCTGTCGCCCAGACTGGAGTGCAGTGGCCGCTCCCGGCCACCACAGCCTCGACCTGCTGGGCTCCGGCGATCCTTCCGCCTCAGTCTTCCAAGTAGCTGGAATTACAGGCATGTGCTACCACGCCCGGCTGATTTTTTGATTTATTGTAGAGATGAGGTCTCACTGCCCAGGCGGGTCTCGAACCCGCGGGCTCAGGCAATCCACTCACCTCAGCCTCCCAAAGGCGTGGGATTATAGGCTGAGCCACCGAGCCTGGCAGATCTATGATTTAAATAGGACTTTGCTTTATTAAAATATTCACTGCAAAAAAGAGTATATTGAATAAATCTCCTTTGGTTCATATCCCAAGAATATGTTTGTTTTCACATTAGCAGGAAAGAGCTAATCAGTCAAAATCTAGACGTGATCTGGCTGTCATCACATGCCATTTCAAGACATAATTATACAAGGCTACAGAGACTTCAAAAGTGAGTTACATTGCTCTTAAATGAAGGAGGCTTAGCAATATTAGAAATTAATGAATTTATTTTAACACCACATGCAAATCTTGAGAAGTATAACATATTTGGTCCTAGTAACTCGACACCTGTTATTCTGAAGTATAGTCACACCTGGTATCAGTGGGGGATTAGTTCCTCAACGTCCCGCAAATGCCAAAATCTTAGGATGCTTAAGTCCCTCATATAAAACGGCATAATATTTGCATAAAACTTATGTACATACTTCCATATACTTTAAATCATCCCTAGATTACTTATAATATACTAATATTACTAGTAAAATGCCTATCTACCACTTCTTTCCCATGAATTCAATTATAGCACTTCGTGCGTGGTGAATCAGATTTTGCTTTTTGGAACTTTGTAGCATTTTTATCCTTGAATATTTTCTATCTGCAGTTGGTTACACCCAGGGATGTGGAACCCAAAGATATAAAGGGTCAATTATAGTTTGTGAGCATCTTCTGAAAAATATCTTCTTTAGAATTGATGGTAGAACAAATGGATCAACTGCTAGACAACCCTTTTTTTGTTTTGTTTTTTTTTTAGTTGAGGTCTCACTCTGTCACCCAGGCTGGAGTGCAGTGGCATAATCATGGCTCACAGTAGATTCAACCTCCTGGACACAGGTTATCTTTCCAACTTGAGAGTAGCTGAGAAAACAGGCTCATGCCACATCTGGCTAATTTTTAAAAATTTTTTTGTAGAGAAAGGGTCTAGCTATGTTGCCAAGGCTGGAGTACTGCTATTTTTAAACTCAATTTAGTCAATAATATTTACTGACCTATATGCTAAGCATCATACTAGTTCTTGAAGAAATATTTTTAATAATCTCTTCCCTTGAGGAGTTCACACCCTCACTACAGAAGCAGCTTCAAGACTTAAGTAAGTATGATTACAGAGATGTAAATGGACAAAGTATTGTATGAACACTGGGGACAGAACGATTGGGCAAAACAGCAAAACTTCAGAAGAGGTGACTTTTGAGCTGGTTCTGAAAACATGAATATGTTAACCTTAAACAGAAGTGAAGTTGGATAGAACAGGGCATTAAATACAGAAAGAACAGCACATACATGCACAGGCCCAAAGCCATGCAGGACCTGAAGCATTTGAGAAACAATATGGAGTATGATATTATATTTCTAAAACTAGAAAATGTGCATACATTATATAAGAAATAAACATACAGCCCAGTCACAGAATTTGGATTTCTAATAAATATTATTAAAATATAAACATCTGTTAATCAACATTTACAAATGTACTTACTTGTAATAGTGTTCCCAGAGATTTCTGTATCTTCCTTGACCTGACATATCAAACACCGTAAAAGACAAACTACAAAAGAAGAAGCAAAGCATGACATTACAAACTACTAACTAAAATTATAACTTTTACTTAAAATCTTACATTGTTTTCAATCAAAGAAATCAATCTTAATATATTCAAAATGGGCCAATTTTCAAGTAAAAGTTCTGTAAAATAAACTTATTAGTAGATAACATAAAAAATATGTTTTCTTTGCTAGTGATGCTATCAGTTTGTATAAACTCTGTACCTATAGGATTCTGAAACAAAAGTTAATTTTTCTAAGAGTAAGAAGAATGATCAGGTAGATCTAATATTGTTATTTTTAATCTACAACTTCTTAGTCACAGGGATAAAGTCAATTACCTGGATGATTTGAATTTCTCTATGTTGAATCCTATTGTTGGAACTATATCTTGAGATTGAGCCTTCAAGAGAAAAGACAAAGTTTAGAATATGCAATTACTAGAGATGATTCTTTCCTCAAGTTAAAGAAAAAGCATCCAGATTTCTTTTCCACTTTAAAAGTTTGCTACTAAGGAGATTACAGGATTAAACAAAATTATAATTTTTGTAATAGGATCACTGAGTGTAAATTGTTTATAGAAATGTGAAGCTTACTAATTATGAGTCTGCATAACGTACATGTCTTCATTTATATTTTGTGGCTTACTGCAAGTTACCAAGGACACATGAAGTTTTTATGAGTGGTTTAATAAATCACCCTGAATTCATATGTAGTACTTTCTAATATTTCCACATATACTTATTGAGTTTATATATGATCAGAACTGCTCTCATGTCCCAAACATAAAGTTAACAATTTCAACTAACAAAAGAAAACGTGATTAAGTCCGAAGACAAGAGATTGGGGTGAAAGGCAGCAGGGTAGAAAGTGGTTGGAAGGTAGTGTAGAAGAAGAAAGCACAGGATAAGCCCCTCTAAGAGGTGACATCCGACTCATGAGTGAATGTCAAGAGGGAAATGCAATGACAAGTTATTGGCAACAAGCATTCCAGTCAGAAGTATCAGTGTGGTGATCGTAAGGCAGGAAGGAACTCATCACACAGGAATGTAGCAAGCCTGAATGTGTGGTGAGCAGAGTAAGTAAAAGAGCGGTATACGTTGATGTAAAAGAGGTGGGACTTGAAGGCTCTGGTAGGGAATTCTGTGTGAAGAAGATTGACAGAGGGCTAGGGTACAAAGGAGACCTGATGACAGGTTCCATAGACAATTAAAATGCATTATACTGACATCCTAACAGAGCAAATGACTCCTGGCACTTCCAGTATCGAAACCGTTCTGTTTATAAAAGTCCATCTACTTTCTGATCCAGATGCTTTGACATTATTCTTGACTCCTCCTTTTTTATTCACATTCTCTATATAATCATTCCCTAAGCTACATGGGTTTTATCTCACTAACTTAGTTTAGGTTCTTATCATTTCTAGTGGTGAATTACTACAACAGCCTCCTAATTACTCCTAATTGGCTATGCTACCTTGGACAAGCTATTTAACTTCTCTAAGCCTGGTATTCGCAAATGTAAAATATATTAATATCCTTAACTCATAAAGTTATCATGACAATTAAAGAAACCTCAACAGTACAGTACTGGTACAAAAACAAACATATAGACCAATGGATCAGGATAGAGAACACAGAAATAAAACCACTGACCTACAACCAACTCATCTTTGACAAAGCCAATAAAAACAAACATTGGGGAAAAGACACCCTCTTCAACAAACGATCCTGAGAAAATGGATCCGGGATATAAATATAAGACCTCAAAATATAAAAATTTTAAAGGAAAACCTAGGAACCAGCTTTCTGGAGACTGGACTATGCAATGAATTCATGACCAGTTCCTCAAAATCAAATACAGCAAAATCTAAAATTGACAAGTGGGACCTTTTCAAGATAAAAAGCTCCTGCACAGCAAAAGAAACCATCAAAAGAAACAATCCACAGACTGGTAGAAAATATTTGCAAACTATGCATCTGACAAAGGCCTAGTACCCAGAATCTGTAAAGAACTCAAAACAAAAACAAATCGACAGGAATTTCTCGAACTAAAAATTGATCTTCCATATGATCCAGCAAGCTCTCTCCTGGAAATTTACTCAGAGGAACATAAATCATTCTACCAAAAAGACATCTATCTGTACATGCACGTTTATTGCCATACTATTCACAATAGCAAAAAACATGAAACCAACCCTGATCCCATCAAAAGCAGACTGGATAAAGGAAAATGTGATACATACACACAATGGAGTATTACACAGCCAGAAAGAAGAACAAAATCATGGATTTCACAGCAACGTGGGTGCAGTTGGAGACTAAGCGAATTATCACAGAAACAAAGAACTGAACACTGCACATTCTCACGTATAAGTGGGCCCTGAACACCAGTCACATTAGCACAAGCTCGGGGACTGACAGTTGCTAGGCAAGGATGGGGGAGTGGGCGAGGAAGGAGGAAGGGGACACTACCAGGGGGAATGAGGGCCACCTAAAAGCCCAAACTTCACCTGCATGCAGCCTACTTGTGTAACAAAACCTCATTTGTATCCTACAACCCTATAAGAAACAAATAAATAAATATATTTTTAAAAAAACCAACAGAAACAAAACAAATAACCCCATTAAAAAAGGGCAAAGTCCATGAACAGATACTTCTCAAAGTAAGACATACAAGTAGCCAACAAACATATGAAAAAATGTTCAACATCACTAATTATCAGAGACATGCAAATCAAAAGAACGAGATACCATCTCATACTGGTCAGGATGGCTATCATGAAAAAACAACAGATGTTGGTGAGGCTGTGGAGGAAAGGGAATTCTCATACACTATTGGTGAGAATGTAAGCTGATCTACTCCTGTGGAAAGCAGTTTGGAGATTTTTCTAATAATTAAAAATAGATTTCCCATTCGGCCCAGCAATCCCACTTCTGGGTATATACCCAAAGGAGCATAAATCATTCTTCCAAAAATACAAGTGCACTCACACATTTATCACAGCACTATTCACAATGGCAAAAACATGAAACCAACCCAGGTGCTCACTGATGGTGGACTGGATAAAAAAATGTGGCACATACACACCATGGAATACTACGCAGTCATAAAAAAGAATGAAATCATGTCCTTTGCAGCAACATGATACAGCTGGAAGCCATCATTCTAAGTGAATTGTTATAGAAATGGAAAAATGAATGCCCTATGTTCTCACTCATAAGTGGGTTACTCATGGGTACAAGAATGAGAATAGACAGTGAACAATACCAAAAGGCGGAGAGAGGAAGAGGAAAGAACACATGGACAAGTCGGCTCATCAGAAGCCCAAACCTCACCATTTGCACAGTATATTTATGCAGCAAATCTTCAAATGCAACCCCGATTCTACAATTATAAACAAAAAATACAAGCAAAATACTCAACACAATACAAACTCAACAAATGTCTGATATGATTATAGTAACATTCTCACTAATTTCAGTTTTATCCCCAATTTTTTGCATCCTGCCACAAGTGTAACTTAAGAAAAAAAAATTCCAGGCTGGGCGTGGTGGCTCAAACCTGTAATCCCAGCACTTTGGGAGGTCGAGGTGAGAGGATTGCCTGAGTCCAGGGGTTCGAGATCAGCCTGGGCAACTTGGCGAGATATCGTCTCTACAATAAATCAAAAAAATTAGCCGGGCATGGTAATGTGCACCTGTAGTTCCAGTTACTTCGAAAGCTGACACGGAAGGATTGCCTTAGCCCAGTAGGTTGAGGCTGTGGTGGCCATGAGCGTGCCACTGCACTCCAGCCTGGGCAACAGGGTGAGAATTCAACTCAAAAAAAAAAAAAATTCCCTTCAGTTCATCTTGTTGGCATTATGTAAAAAAAGGAACAGTACAGGGGAAATTTTTGTCCCATATACTATGCTTACTGTGTTAACCTACTTCTGGGAAATTTAAATTCAAATGAAAAGAGAAGTTGAAAAGTCACTGAAGCTTGATCACCTTAACGGTAATGTGCTAGTGAAAGGCCCTCCCAGAGAGCCCCTGGCTTTGGCTTTAAGTTTGTTTATTCAGTTTTTCTCTTTTACATCCTATGAACTACTCTAGTATTTTTCCAAAAATATCTTTCTTTTCATGTTAGACAAAATGTACTTCTTGCTACTGAGATTCCTACCTCAAGCCTTAGGTTCCTTCCTTGCAGAACAACATTTGGAATAAAGAGTTTTCTGATTTTCATTGTCCCCAAACCCCTGCTATTTTGATTTTGAGGATTTTTAATGTCCCTATAGCATGATAAAATCATGAGCTATTATTGTGAGGAACAACATACCAATAGCAAAAAAGTAAGGAAGATAGAAGTTTAAAGAAATCTCAAAAAATAAACTTCACAATAGTAACTCTGTCCTTATTGAATCGTAATTAGAACATCTGCCTAGCCTCCACATAATCACTTAGCTTCTTCACAAACTCTTTGTTTCCAGAGAAGCTCCTCTTTAACTTGATATTTTACTTGTAAGAATAAAATTCACAAACTCACTTCTAAAATTCTAGTGGAAAGTAATCAGAAAAAGAAAACTCCACAAATTAGTCAATATGGAACAAGACATGTGAACTACTGCTTTCAGACTCAAGTGGAACTTATTTTCCTGTAAAGTACTCCAAAAGATAGTCTCCAACATTAATCTCCCTCTGCAGTATACAAGAATACATTAGATCATTTTCTAAATTGGACAAGAATGACGTAAAGCAAGCAGATGATAGGCATTAGAGTTGGTCCTCTGTATCTACAGGTTTTACATTTGCAGATTTAACCAATTATGGATGAAAATATTAATAATAAAAAAACTGTATAACATTATTTGCATAGTATTTACATTGTATTAGGGATTATAAGTAATATAGAGATGATTTAAAATATATGGGAGAAGGTGTCTAGGTTATATGCAAATACCAGGCCATTTTATACACTTTTGCATAAAAGTGACTTGAATATCTATGGAATCTGGTATCCATAGATGTGGGAAGTGAGTGGGAGGATAAAACAGGGGTTAGGGGAACGGGTATCCTGAAAACAATCCCCTATAGATAGCAAGAAACAACAATTGCTTAAGTGGAACAGACCACCTGAGACAGTCCAGAGATAGGCAAACATGAGGAATAGAACAAGATTATGAGAGGAAACCTATTTTGTTAGTGTCATCAAGTCTGCTAAAAATATTATCCTTGGTACCATCAAATATAATGCACAAAAATTAAAATAAAAAAACCATCCATCAATCCATTAACCCAAAGCGTCAAGTATTATTCAAAGTATTCGGTATTCAGTGTTGAAAAAGACAAGATCTATACTCTATTATAATGTGGAGAAATTTAGTAAGTTATCAACTGAATATACAAGTTATCAATTGAGCAA